TAAAAATCTAAATACACGGTTAGATTTGGCATATCAAAGAACCCCAATAATTCAATTTTTGATGAAATCAAACAAAGTTTAATTTTGGACCCTTTTGACCTCAATATGAACCAATTTGATAGCGGGGTCCACAAATAAAAAATCTAAATACATGGTTAGATTCAGCATATCAAAGAACCCCATATATTCAATTTTTGTTGAAATCAAACAAAGTTTAATTTTGGACCCCAATTTGGACCAACTTCAAAACTGGGCAAAAAATCAAAAATCTAAATATATGTTAAGATTCAGCATATCAAAGAACCCCATATATTCATTTTTTGTTAAAATCAAACAAAGTTTAATTTTGGACCCCAACTTGAAAACTGGTCCCATAATCAAAAATCTAAACACATGTTTAGATTTAGCATATCAAAGAACCCTATATATTCAATTTTTGTTAAAATCAAACAAAGTTTAATTTTGGACCCCAACTTGGACAAACTTGAAAACTGGGCCCATAATCAAAAATCTAAACACATGGTTAGATTCAACTTAACAAATAAATAAATGTGGTCAAAGATTTTACAAATCTAATGCGCCATACTGTGCAATTTAAGAATATTTGAAATTTAAAAAAAAAAAAAAAAAAATTTGAAGAATAATTCTTTTTAATTTCTGAAATCTGAAATGAGAAAAAATTGACCCCCCACAATTTCTTTTTACCCCCCCTTTTTCCCCCCGAAAAATTCTTTCCCTCAAGATATGGTCATAATCTCAATTCAAATTTCCAATGGAGTTTGCAACCATAATTACCCATTTAAATTTACCATAGTGCTAACTTAATCTATTTTATAATAGAATTTAAAATATAGTGTCAAATCTTTCATATGGATTTTTTTGTAAAAAAAAAAGATGCAACATTTGCAGATATTTTCACTGGTCTTCCTTTATAAATATGCATTTCTTTAAACATAATTTAAAAGCAGTGTAAGGGAAGTAACCAAAACGTTGTATTTGGATTACCTCCCTTACACTGTTTTAAATTATCTTAATTGTTCATTAACCATTACTTTATACATAATTTAAAAGCAGTGTAAGGGAGATAATTTCAATGATGTATTTGATTTATCTCCCTTACACTGCTTTAAATTATGTTTTGTACTAAAGTATTTGTCCATTAACCAGGACAACCTTGTTTTTCCCCCTTTTTTGCCCCTAATTCCTAAACGGTTTGAGCAATAACCCCCCAAAGCAAATCCTAACCATCCCTTTGTGGTATGGAAACTTGTAGTATAATTTCAGAGAGATCCATACACCGTTCCACAGTTATTGTCTGGAAACTAGAAAATGCTTATTTTTGGCCCCTTTTTGGCCCCTAATTCCTTAACTGTTGGTACCATAACCCCCAAAATCAATCCCCACCTTCCTTTTGTGGTATTGAACCTTATGGTAAAATTTCATAGAGATCCATTCACTTAAACTAAAGTTAGAGTGCGAAAACTAATGCGTCTTCGGACGACGACGACACCAACGTCATACCAATATACGACCACAAAAATTTTTTTGCGGTCGTATAAAAATTGAAAAAAGATGTGAAAAAATCTTCATTAAAGGGCAACAACTTCAATAAGGAGTCGACTAACGATTTTGGTCATGTTTGACATATTTGTAGATCTTGTCTTGCTGATAATTAATCTATAATAGTTTTAAAGATATAAGCCAAGATACAAAAAAATTGTAAAAATTGTCATTAAAGGGCAAAAACTCTAATAAGTAGCTATATAGTCTACTGAAGATGTCAGCTATGTTGACCTTTTTGTAGATCCTAAAATGCTGATCATTTTTGCTTTTGTTTGCTTTTGAAGATTCTATCTATCTTTTATGGTTTTTAAAATATAAGGCAATAACACAAAAAAATGGTAAAAAATCATCATTAAAGGGCAATAACTCTAATAAGGAGTTGTCTGGCGATTTCGGTCATGATGACTTATTTGTAGATATTGTCTTGCTAATCATTTTTGCTATTTAAAGAGTCTGTCTATCTATTATTATTTTCGAGATAATAGGCAAAAATTTCTTAAAATGGTATAATATGTCATTTAAGGGCAGTTTCGACATAAACGGACAATAGGTATCGCTCAACATTTTTTCCCCTGTCAGATTTTCTCTATTTATAGTGGTTTTCAAAATAATAGGCAAAACTTGCATTTTACCCCTATGTTCTATTTTTAGCCATGTCGGCCATCTTGGTTGGTAGGCAAGGTCAGCACTCAGCAGACACATTTTTTAAACAAGATACCAGAATGATGATTGTTGCAAAGTTTATTTAAATTTGACCCAGTAGTTTCAAGAGATTTTTGTAAAAGTTAACAACAACGTACAACAACAACTAATGACAGACGAGTGATGAGAAAAGCTCACTTTAACCTTTGGGCCAGGTAAGCTAAAAAAAAATATAAAAAAATTTGTGGTCCAATGAGCACTTTTACCTATACTTTATAAACTTCATTTCTTATAAATCTTACTTCACCTAAATTTGTAAAATTAAGCATTTAATATCCATATCTCTCCAATAAAGAGTATTTAAGTAATAATGCAAGTTGTTCTAAAATGTGTCATTCAAAAATCATTTTCACATATAGTTTTTATACTGCAATTCCTACCAACAGACCTTATTTTGAATTGTTAATAAGCATTAATCCATATCACTCTCACAAAGAATCATTTTCTTGTTTATTATCTTTCACCACTGAAACAAGTGTACATAAAATTGAGAATATTATAATAGACCCTTTCCAATGTATCACAAATAAACAAATCTATATACCCATCAAAATCATTGAGGCTGGCAGTAAATAAACTGAAAAATATCACCATTAAGGTTTAATACAAACTAAATATTTTCAAGCAAACTATACCAACTATAGTCATGATCTTATTTTAAAGTTTGATAGTTTTCTAGACTTATGTCTACAGCAAAATAACTGATTAAGTATAAGTAAACAACCAAATTATAAGGACTTAAAGGATATGCCTGAACCACAAGCAATACGTATGGCATATATACATCATGAACATATAATAAGCTACTAATCTAAAGTATAATGGCCGTTTGACCTCCATGTCTTTATGAAGCAATTTTTGTGGTTAATGTGAAGGCAAACAACAAACATAAAATGTCACTATCAAAACAACATTGGCAGTATATATACTATTAATACATCTCTAAATGTCTGCCAATACAGGGTGAAAAATATCTATTCTATTGCACCTAAAAATATTTGAATACGTTTTTTCTTTCATTTGACTGCAATCTTTATAGGTGGTATTAATCATAATGTGTACTGTGCTGTTAAAAAACATAGATATTGAATTGTTCAGTATATTGTTGCACTTTTTAATTAAGTTATTAAGCAGGTTATCTCCCTTTATCATGCTTTTTACAGTATATTCAACACAATTTATTTCATAAATTGCAACAAATAATAAATACAGCTTTTTTTTTAGTGGTGCAGATTTCTCTGAATGAAAATCATACATCCATAAGAAAATGAATTTTATACTTAATCATGTTAATCAAATGTCTACTTGATCTTTATTCAAAAACAGAGTTCTCAAATTTTATTTAGCCTGGTGGTCATAAGCAAAGCCCAAAAAGGAATAAAACCACCATAAACTTTTAGTTAGATCTCAGGACCATCACTACCCTCAGAATTGGGGGACCTGTCCCATTTTTGTTGGTCAGGACAGACATACTGCCAGTTTTCAAAAACTCTACTAATGTCTTTTACATATGAGATGTGATGTAATCTAATAAACTGTCGATTTAGAGGTTTGTCTCACCTGTTGGCAAAAAATTTAGGAAAAGATAATCTGATGGACAGCAACATTGCTAATTAGACATCATTAAGATGGGAGCCATCTCTGTGGGCCCTGCTGACCTTGAACTTTGACCTAGGAAGTTGTACAAACTATATGACACACTCTCTGGTGTTGGTTAATATTCATGTCAAGTATAAAGTATGAAATTATAAGGGTTCTCTAGATACAGAGCAGACACAATTTGTTAGGGACAGACAGGCTGGTCACTATAGGGCGACCAGCCACTAGGCAGTGCCCTAATTAATTCAAAGTTGCTGGACCATGACAAAGAGGGCAGGCCAGCGCATCAAAATGATTGTCAAACTAAAATAAACTGATAGTTATGCAACTTTATAGAAAATATCATTGTCTATCAGAAGTAGTTCCTATCAAACAAACTTAATCAGAAAACCTAACATGGTTATTATTTGAAAGTCACTGGACCATGACCTATGGGGGCAGGGCCTCAAAATAGTCGTCAAACTGATATGCACTGACAGTGATGTAACTTTATAAAAAATATCATTGATCTATCACAAGTAGTACCTATGAAACTGACTTAAGCAGAAAATAAATATTGAAAATTGCTAATTATAAGTCACAGGACCATGACCTAGGGGCAGGGCCTCAAAACAGTTGGTAAACTGATATGTACTGATAGTAATGCAACTATATAGAAAATATCTATCACAAGTAGTTCCTATCAAACTGACTTAAGCAGAAAACTTAAAAATTGTTGACGCGTCATTGCCGGAAAAAGGGACTCCTGTCTTGCCTTTGGCAACTTTTGTTGCAGGTGGGACAAAAATCTTTTACAGATATTTCTTTACAGGATATTTAATTCTATTATTTGACCTAAAGTTAACTCAGACATATTTAGCCACTTAGTCATTAAGGCAAACAAGTATTTATAGTTTAGCACAAGAAAATAAGATATGTACATAAAACTGAAAATAGACTGAACAGACTTAATAGACTACAAGCAAAGTATCTGAACTGTTTTAAATGTACTACAGCATGAACTCAAAAAAGAAATTTCATAAATGTCCATCCAGCCTATTAGAAGCAGTTGTGCTAACAAAGCATAGTCAGGGAGATGGACGGACCAATTCACATGATTCCTGAATATCCCCCCAAAACCAACAAAATTAACTTACGATCTGTCTGGGTGACTGTGTGGAATTTCTCCTCGTTGATATTTTCTTGGTGATGATATTTTTTCTGGGGAATGTCTCCCTGTAGATTTTGATGTAACAGGAACTAATGCTTCTGTGAAAATGTTAAAGTAGATTGATAAGTTTAATTATAATAAAAAGTCATTATTCTAGTAAACAGTTCAAGTTTTTAAATTGCAATTGTTATAAATATCTAATCCTTCTCCTTGTTTAATCTTATATTGTATCAGTACTTATTGATCAGGAATACAAACATACTAGACTAAGTATATGTTTGCAAATTTCCTAATGTATTTCTTTAAATTGTATTTTTAATGAGCCTTGTGAGAAGCAAAGGAAATTGAGATATTGCATGATACCAAAGTTAATTTGATTCACTGTATGTGGTTTTCAAAATTTATTTGTGGTTGTGTTTCTTGAAAGTAAGAGTAAAAAAGAATGTGTCCATAGTACACGGATGCCCCACTCGCATTATCATTTTCTATGTTCAGTGGACCGTGAAATTGTGGTCAAAACTCTAATTTGGCATTAAAATTAGAAAGATTATATCATAGGGAACATGTGTACTAAGTTTCAAGTTGATTGGACTTCAATTTCATCAAAAACTACTTTGACCAAATACTTTAACCAAAAACTTTAACCTGAAGCATGACAGACAGACGAACGGACGGACGGTCGAACAGACGCACAGACCAAAAAACATAATGCCCCTAAGTGTGTGAAAAAACTTCATAAATGGAAGTAAATCACGTACCACTAACAGCTTGACTGTTGATAATTAAAGCAACTTCAATTTTATAAAATGACACACTACTTTATTTTCCAATTGACCTGACTGAGCAATGAAGTTAAAATCAATTTCAAGGCAATTAAATCATAAATATTTTTATGAAAAGCTGTTACATTTAAATATTTTGACATGGAGAAGTACTGAGATTTAAAACATTCAATATACTGTATATGTATTTATTTTCAAGGTGTATTTATTTTCATGAATTTCGCACTAATTATATTTCTGCGAAAATAAATACATGCTAACACAAATGCAGATCACAACGGTATCAAAATCATTGAATAGATATCGCTGAAATCTACATCAGAGGGGGATTTAAGGGGGGTAGTAAGCCTGGGCCTTGTCTTCAATCAATTAAACTGTGAAACTGTTAACACAACATCAGTTATCAATACAGATATTCAATTAAGAATGAATAAACAAAAGGTAACAATTAATAACCCATGCAAAATTTGACAAATTTATTATATAATTAACTTTATCAAGTAATTAAACCTCTGAAGAATAAAAAAAGTGATTTGATGATTGAATGATCTTTGTTTATTCAATTTTCTTTCATATGTTTAAACAAAGAAAGACCTAATTTACGAACATTTAAATATTCTAAGTCCATTATTTATATTTTGATATTTTCGAAAATACTGTGAACTTAAATACACATGAATTGAATGGCAATATCAAATTCGCAATAAATAAGTACTCGCGAAAAAAGTACATATACAGTAATACATTATAAATTATTAAATTTCAAACTTTGTTATGATAAAACTTATATTTTTCAAATTATACTACATTTGTTCATTATATATTGGATACAGTTGTTGTTAACTTAAACCCTGGAAAATGTATATCATTCTGATAAGTATCTTGAAGAAAAATTAATGCAGCTTTAAAAACCTTGCTTAAATCCAAAAACAATATACTGGAATACCTTCATAAATCATATACCTGTCAAACAAAGATCAAATATTTAATATCAAATTTCACTGTGAAGGTAAAATACTTAAGTAATGAAACATTGATAATGAAATCTATGCATGGTTCTTTTAAAAATGGTAATAATATATATAGACAAACACAGTAATAGATACAGCAAAGGTTAGAAGATATATCATGTGACTTTACAGGTTGATCCATGCCATGCAATTAAAGGGTTAAAACCACCACATTCAATGTGAAATACATGTGCTTATGTTACTTCCTTACATTTTTCGTTTTCAATAAAGAGGCACCAGGTAAATTTATAATAAACCGTTTTGCCATGGTCATCAAAAACACAAGTTGTTACCATGGTAACTGGATAATTGAAATGCCATCCTTTTTGACATTCTTCGGGGTAAATTTCATTAATCAAAAACTGCCTAAACAATGATTTGTACTGAAATAATTATCAAGATACTTTATATGGAATGCCAGGCTAAAAATGAAATGTTGCCTACTTATCCACCTAAAAAGCATCCACCTAAAAAGCAGCCTACCCCCCGAAAAAAATACAAATTATTTCAAATTTTAAAAAAAAGTTTTTTTCATGTTCTAATGTTGTTTTCTTGTTTAAAAAAGATATAACTTATGCTGTTGGCCAAAAAAAATAAAATCCCTACCCTACAAGCATGGGTAGGCAACATCAAACAAAGAATTTGTTAAGGGTGACCCCACAGCTGTCTAATGTTGGGCTCTGACATTACACGATGTGGTTTTATTATTACTTGATGATATTTTGATATTAATTTATTATTTCCTATACCATATAAATCCATGCAAATAGTTATAAAACAAAACGTGTTTGGTATCTAAATAGTTACTGTTTTCACAATAGTAAGAGGATTATCAGATTATACAATTTATTAAAATAAAACATCATAAATATTTATCTATACTCAATGATCATTCAAGATGTCCCCCCCTTATGCATGTTATGTCTGAAATATTGTTATTTTTTGCACTTTTTTCTCTTTTTTGACTGTATGTCCCCAATAATTTAGGCATTAAAAGAATGATGTAACTAAAAAAAACACTGGAACCAACACATCATACTATTGTATATAAAACAGCCAAATTCTGGAATAATTAAGTAATGTTAAAACCTTATAAAAAATGTGAAATCCATATATAGATAAATGTTTTTTAAAACATATAATCTACTAATCTAGTAACATCATTCCAAAATAAAGTCTTATCAATTAATGTAATATCTAGCCATATTAAGAAATTGAAGAATCATCATTACTAAAAACATCATGTAATGAAACAACTACATTGAAAAACTTCAGGTTTATAGAAACTTGACATAGCGACACAGCATGCCTCAACAACTTTTAACTAGAATAAACTGCTTCGTTGAGAGCAGCTGGATACGCCCGCAGAGGTCCAACCCTGAACAGTTGGGGCAAAAATGGACACAATATTCAAGCTTGATACAGGTCTGAATTTGGATTGTAATTAAATATTTGACATATTATAGGTTTCTGAATAAATGTAGTCAAAGAACTTGAAATTAGTTATATGAATTGAATTTATATTCAATTATAGATTTCTTGCTGTTGTGCAATACACTATGCTGTTGCGCAATACTTAGTAAATCTGTTGTCAGACTATAAACAAATAAAGTTCAATTTCTTCTCAATGTCATATTTGAAATTTATGAAAATCAATAGGGAGATTACATCAATAACTATAAATAATTCACCAAAGTTTCATGAGAATTGCTGAAAGCATTTTTGAGTTATTGTCTGAAAACTGGAAAATCCCCCTTTTTTAATGAATAAAACCCCATAACTTGGAAATGTAAAATCTAAAATTCATAAAATTCTAAAGGGAGCTTACATCAATAGATATCAACAATTCATCAAAGTTTCATGAGAACTGCTGAAAGCATTTTTGAGTTATTATCCGAAAACTGGAAAATCCCCCTTTTTTTTATGAATAAAACCCCGTAACTTGGAAACGTAAAATCTAAAATTTATAAAAATCAAAAGGGAGCTCATGTCAATAGATATAAACAATTAACCAAAATTTCTTGCAAGTTGGTGAAAGCATTCTTGAGTTATTGTCCGAAAACTGGAAAACCCCCCTTTTTTTAATGAATAAAACCACATAACTCGGAAACGTAAAATCTAAAATTTATAAAAAACGAAAAGGAGCTCACGTCAATAGATATAAACAATTCACCAAAATTTTATGCAAATTGGTTAAAGCGTTTTTGCGTTAATGTCCGACATGTTGACGACGGACGGACGGACGGACAGACGGACAACGGTATACCATAATACGTCCCATAAATGGGCGTATAAAAACCTTATTTCATAATTAAATTATGAACACTAAATTGGAAAAAAAACTACTTTTTACAACCAATCTTAATTATTAGTAATAGCAATCCAAAAGAATAATATATATTTTTTATTGAGTATCGAATGAGAAAGTAATTTTGTTTTTAAACAACTAAGCACTCATTAATGCTATGACTACAGCCCTTCCCCAATTCAAAAATATAATTTTCCTCTAACAATGTAACATTATAAATATTGACATTTGTGATCATAACTTTCTCTCTTTCAGCAAATTGATAAATTAAAATATGAGACGGTTCATCAATATTTAAATATCTTATAACTTCATTATAACTACATTTTCCTGTACCATACATATAGTAGAAGATAAGTTTTTTTTTAGAGGCTAAATTAGTTATTTATGCAAAGTTGTTATTACTTGTGCAGAATGTTATGAATTATAGATTACTTCATAGAAAATATGAATTAAGTAACATTATATAAATAACACATAGCTGAGAGGGTAATAGAGCAGATTGTTACCCCGAGAAAACATTGTCAACTGAGGCGAAGCCAAGGTTGACAATGTCTTTTCGAGGGGTAACAATCTGCTCTATCACCCTCTCAGATATGTGTTATTTAATTTATTATACTGAATGTTCTGTTATTACTGTCGATTAAAATTCAAAGTAATAAACTATTACGTCTTGTACATAACAACCATCCGTATTTAATAAAGCGCACACTTGATCAAGCGTCTCGGTGAAGGGTAATAGAGTATTTACCATAGAATAGAGTAAATTAACACCCTTGTATAAGCCAATCAAAATATTGCATTTTTACGTGAAGTATAATAAATATTTATATCAAGACAGAAACATTGACAACATGCTAATACTGCTAAGCAAGAACTGTTCATATGTGTTTTACACATTTAGGAATTGCCTGAAAGTCCAATATACACTTCTTTGTGGAATAAAAGGGCTTCTACCGTCTACGTCTTTATTTTTCAATCAATATTGGACAAAATTCTGAATGCTTAGCATAAAAAAAATTCTGTCAAATATATTGCAACACCAAACAATCAACAACATGTCTGCCATCTAAGCTACTAAACTTTCTGAATTTTATTAGACAAAAGCCTCTTTTAATAGATATAAGAAGATGTGGTATGAGTGCCAATGAGACAACCCTCCATCCAAGTCAAAATTTATAAAAGTAAACCATTATAGGTCAAAGTACGGTCTTCAACACGGAAACTGTTTATTCTTCTTTTTTAAAAAGAAAAAATATATTTAAATATCTATATCTGAGAATAAAAGATTGTTTACTTCATATTTAGATGAGTTTCAGACTGTCATATTTGTTTTTCGTAAATTGTCTTGTGATAAATTAGGCTGTTAGTTTTCTCGATTGAATTGTTTCATAGTTTTCATATCAGGCCTTTTATAGCCAACTATATGGTATAGTTTTTTCTCCTGGTTGAAGGCCGTAGGGTGGCCTATAACTGCTTACATCCACTTCATTTGAACTCCGGTGGATAGTTGTCTCATTGGAAATAATACCACATCTCAAATTTTTTTGTATTCAGAGGATTTTCTAAATTTGAAGTCAGATGCCAAAAACATACCTAGTATTTATGTCAAATGCAACTGACTTTACTTATCATATACATATATATATTGCTAAGGTGCTCATATTTGTAGAATAATATGCAATGGCTATATTTTTCTTTACATAAATTGAGTTAATCTTAAGATTAATTTGAAAATTGTGATATACTAGCCTTTAATTATTTGAGAAAAAATTAAGATTGTTATTCAACTAAAATTACCTAACATTTAGAGAATACATGTAGTATCAACTGAAATTACCTAGCATTTAGAGAATACATGTAGTATCAACTGAAATTACCTAGCATTTAGAGAATACATGTAGTATCAACTGAAATTACCTAACATTTAGAGAATACATGTACATGTAGTATCAACTGAAATTACCTAACATTTAGAGACATTCAGTCTAGAAACTGAGAAAAAAATAAGTATGATGACAAACTTTATTAGGATGTTTGTAGATATAGGAAAGTACAGAATAAAACAGATTCTTAAACAAAAAATAATAATTGGATTTCAGGTAAATTCCCTAAACGTGAAAAAGAACCTCTTACCAAGGCATTCAAGACACGGCAAAAGTTGAGTGCAGAGTGGAAATCCATTAAGTTACAGCAGACACGTCATAATACAAAGACATGCAAAACTTACTTGAATCTTTCAATAAATCTTTGTCTATGGACATGGAGAGATCGATTTCCCGACGACTCCTACCTTGTTTTTCCATCATCTTGTCAATCTGCATACGTAGTAACATCAAAACCTTTTCTATTACCCTAGGTTTTGGATTTGTGGTATTAGCGAGTGCCCTTATTACATCATCTGATAAGTCTAAATCTAATTTTCGTAGTACTCGTCTAAAAAAAATATAAGAGACCAGATATTACTTTTTAAATCATACATTTTCAACACCATCTTTGGGGTGCATCATTGGGGTAATGTAATTCCTTTACAAAAGCTGCCTGTACATTTTTGCAAATATCTGAATTTATGCAATTCTTATCATTTTACACCTGGATTCAAAATTCCCAGTGCTTTGCTCTTGCGCCAATTGGCATTTCATTTGCGCCAAAATAATCTTTCATTTGCGCCACAAACCATATTTCATTTGCGCCAAAATAAAACATTTCATTTGTGCCAATAATATAGGTAAATACATGTACTAGCATAAAAATAGTTTTATTCAAAAGAGACTTTTACTACCAACTTTAAAACACAGTTTTTGATTGCATAATAAAACATATTCCCCCGAAATCAGTCATCGAAAACATAATGAAAGCACTTTACACTGATACGTTCATAATAAGACTTTTCATAATAATGTTAAAACACATTTCTGTTATAAATTAACGAGACCATAAAACCTAAAAGAAAGCACTATACACTGGAGTAAAACCAAAAGTTTGTTCTGACACAAGACTTGTAAGTAAAGGCTCGGATATACTCATGTACACTGGATAACCGATATGTGTGGTCATAAAAAAAATACAGACTTAATTCCTCTATATAAAATTAAGGAGATGTGGTATGATTGCCAATGAGACAACTATCCACCAGAGTTCAAATGAAGTGGACGAAAACAATTATAGGCAACTGTAAGGCCTTCAAAAATGAGAAAACCCCATACCGTATAGTCGGCTATAAACAGCCCTGACATGAAAAATTGAGAAAACTAACGGCCTGTTTGTCTCAGAATTGACATATCCATCTTGACACTTCAAACATGTGAACACTATATAGTTTTAAACTTAAGTGACTCTCACTTTTATATTAGAAATGAGTATGAAGTTATGAACTTACTTAGTTACCCAGAGGGAATACTTTAATAAAGTTCTTATTCACGATGTAGCAATGAATATTTTATTTTTTTCGTTGTATGTTACCTGTAAAATGGCGCAAATGTAGTTTTTATTTTTTGGCGCAAATGAAATATAACCTTGTGGCGCAAATGAAAGATTGGATTTTATAAAAATTTGTGCAAATGCAAAGCGCCCAAAGTTCCATCTTCTGTTGTGTATTTTGACCTCTTTTCTGTTTTTATTGTGTAATTAGGATGTTGCCATCCCCTTTCATTCATATTTGAAGCAAAAAATAATTACTGTTGTATATATGTTTACTTAAAAGTTTAATTTTTTCAAAAATGTTCAAAGTGTATAAATCAATGTATTGAACATGTTGAAAAAAGTTAATTAGGGTGGATGAAACATGAAACAAATGAAAAAGTTATACTCTGAAATATTGATTAACAATATAAAAAATCAAAATGCTCCGCAGGGCGCAGCTTGATACGACCGCAGAGGTCGAACTCTGAACAGTTGGGGCAAGTATGGACACAACATTCAAGCTTGATACAGCTTTGCATTTGGATTATGATTAAATATTTGACACAGCATAGGTTTCTGACACAGAATGAATGTGGTCTAAGAACTTAAACATTTTAAATTGGACATTCACCAATTATGGTCCAATATCCAAAATCCTAATACATGGTTAGATTCAGCATATCAAAGAACCCCAAGAATTCAATTTTTGATGAAATCAAACAAAGTTTAATTTTGGACCCTTTTGACCTCAATGTGGACAAAGTTGATAACGGGGCCCAAAAATCAAAAATCTAAATACATGGTTATATTCAGCATATCAAAGAACCCCATATATTCAATTTTTGTTGAAATCAAACAAAGTTTAATTTTGGACCCCGATTTGGACCAACTTGAAAACTGGGCCCATAATCAAAAATCTAAATACATGTTTATATTCAGCATATCAAAGAACCCTAAGAATTCATTTTTTGTTAAAATCAAACTAAGTTTAATTTTGGACCCTTTGGACCTTAATGTAGACCAATTTGAAAACGGAACCAAAAATTAAGAATCTAAATACACGGTTAGATTCGGCATATCAAAGAATCCCAATAATTCAATTTTTGATGAAATCAAACAAAGTTTAATTTTGGACTTCAATGTGAACCAATTTAAAAACGGGGCCCAAAATCCAAAAACTAAATACACGGTTAGATTCAGCATATTAAAGAACCCAAAGAATTCAAGAATAAAACCCCATTGAAATTGGTCAAGAAATAAGCAATTTATACTGTGCAATTAAATATTTCTTGCTATTGCGCAATACTGTACAATTGACAATTTCTTGCTATAGCGCAATATTGTGCTATTGGATATTTCTTGCTATTGCGCAATACTGTGCAATTGAAGATTTCTTGCTATTGCGCAATACTGTGCAATTGAAGATTTCTTGCTATTGTGCAATACTGTGCAATTGAAAATTTCTTGCTATTGCACAATACTTATTATATAATAATTTACACATCCTGTTTGATGTATATCTCCTACCATATCATTATTATTTGCTTTTAAATATAAATCAGAAATAACCAACTTAAAATGGAAAATTTTAAAAGAAAAAAAAAAGGAAAAAAGAAAAAAAAGGAAACCCCCCCCCCCCCCAAATTTTTTGAACCCCCTTATGATTCATCACCCCCAAACTCAATCCCAGCCTCCCCTTTGTGGTATGGTACCTTGCAGTACAATTTCAGAGAGATCCATACACTTGAACACAAGTTATTGTCTGGAAACTAGAAAAATGTGTTTTTTGGCCCCTTTTTGGCCCCAAATTCCTTAACGTTTTGGGAAATTACCCCCAAACTCAAACCCAGCTTTCCCTTTGTGATATGGAACCTTGCAGTACAATTTCAGAAAGATCCATACACTTACACACAAGTTATTGTCCTGAAACTAGAAAAATGCTTGTTTTTTGCCCCTTTTTGGCCCCTAATTCCTAAAATATTGAGGCAATTACCCCAATCATCAATCCCAGCCTTCCCTTTGTGCTATGGTACCTTGCAGTACAATTTCAGAGAGATCCATACACTTGAACACAAGTTATTGTCATGAAACTAGAAAAATGCTTGTTTTTTGCCCCTTTTTTGGCCCCTAATTCCTAAAATTTTGAGGCAATTACCCCCAAAATCAATCCCAGCATTCCCTTTTGTGATATTGAACCTTGTGGTACAATGTCAGAGAGATCCATACACTCACACACAAGTTATGTCTGGAAGTTACAAAAATGCTTAATTCCTCTACTGTTGGTACCATAACCCCCAAAATCAATCCCAACCTTCCTTTTGTGGTATTGAACCTTGTGGTAAAATTTCATAGAGATCCATTTACTTAAACTAAAGTTATAGTGCGAAAAACCAATGTGTCTTCGGACGACGCCGGACGATGACGACGCCAACGTTATACCAATATACGACCACAAAAATTTTTTTGCGGTCGTATACAAAAGGTAAAAATCATGCATCACTTGCATATTTTTTCTGCTGATTTTTTACAGTGATTTATCCTTAAAGTAAATTTATTTGACTCTTACAAGGTATTCTATATCATTCTCAGTGATATATGTTGAAAAAAAAACCCAGAATTTCCATTAAATTTTCTCTGCAAATATTCAAGGAAAGAGGTAATTAAGGGCTTCATTAAAATTAGTATTTAACAATATTTAGAATTATGTGCAAAGTAAAAAAAAAGTTTAAGCTAAAGAATCAATGAAATTTTAAGATCTGCAAAAATGTATTCATAAATGACAAAAAAAAACTTGTAATGTTTTGATATAGGTTTTTGCTGGTAATGTTGTGCAAATGCAAGAAGAAAATAAAACTTAATGCCCCCACCGCTACGGCGGGGGCATAAAAATACTTATAAGAGAGGTGATGTTCACATAGACAAACACGGCCTGGTTTATTTGTTTAGTTTTATATTTATCTTTCATATTTTTTAAAGGATCTGTTATATCATTACTTGAATTAATTACTTTTACAGGTAAATGTCATTTCCAAGTATTAAATGTGATACTGCACTGGTGTACACTTTTTTCTTTGAAACTCACCTAAATTTCTCTAGGACTCACCAAACTTTTGAAAGTAATAACCATACATTTCGTTTGTATGATAGACAGGTATATTTCCATTGCCATCACTAAGGAAAAGAAGTCCTACCTATTTAATAAATACCAGTTTTCCATTTTTTGCTTTGTTGCTGCAGCTGGTGTATAGTTGTGAAGCTCTACCCATTTAGGAAGGTAGTGAGCAACAATTTCTGCTACTAGTACTGAAATATAAATAACAAAAGTTTTAGTTATACCTTAATACAGTATTTCAACTGTAGTACCAATAAAAAGGTTACAGTATATTAGTACATGTACAATAAACTGCTTCACTGAGCGCAGCTGGATATGCCCGCAGAGGTCCAACCCTGAACAGTTGGGGCAAAAATGGACACAATATTCAAGCTTGATACAGGTCTGAATTTGGATTGTAATTAAATATTTGACATATTACAGATTTCTGAATAAATGTAGTCAAAGAACTTGAAATTGGTTATATGAATTGAATTTATATTCAATTAAAGATTTCTTGCTGTTGTGCAATACACTGTGCTGTTGCGCAATACTTAGTAAATCTGTTGTCAGACTATAAACAAATAAAGTTCAATTAATTCTCAATGTCATATTAGAAATTTATGAAAATCAAAAGGGAGCTTACATCAATAGATATAAACAATTCACCAAAGTTTAATGAGAATTGCTGACAGCATTTTTGAGTTATTGTCCGAAAACTGGAAAATCCCCCCTTTTTTAATGAATAAAACCCCATAACTCAGAAATGTAAAATGTAAAATTTATAAAATTCTAAAGGGAGCTTACTTAAATAGATATAAACAATTCACCATAGTTTCATAAGAACTGCTGAAAGCATTTTTGAGTTTTTGTCTGAAAACTGGAAAATCCCCCTTTTTTTATGAATAAAACCCTGTAACTCGGAAACGTAAAATCTAAAATTTATAAAAATCGAAAGGGAGCTCATGTCAATAGATATAAACAATTCACCACAATTTCTTGCAAGTTGGTGAAAGCACTCTTGAGTTATTGTCTGAAAACTGGAAAATCCCCCTTTTTTTATTTAATAAAACTCCATAACTCAGAAACGTAAAATTTAAAATGTATAGAAAACTAAAGGGAGCTCACGTCAATAGATATATACAATTCACCAAAGTTTTATGCAAATTGGTTAAAGCGTTTTTGAGTTAATGTCCGACATGTTGACGACGGACAACGGTATACCATAATACGTCCCGTAAACGGGCGTAAAAATATGAGTTATCCATATACACTGTCTATCAAGAAGGTACCAAACAATCATTCCAAACAAGGAAATATATGACTAGAAAGTAGGAGGCAGGTCAAACCATCAATTCAACAAAACAAAATTTATTGGTTGCTATTTGCAATATTTGTTTTGATAGCTGACTATACAGTGTGGTTTTTGCTCATTAATGAAGGCAGTGTGGTCACCTACAACATGTATATCTATGATGTATAACTAAAGGCTACATGCTGCCCCCATTCAGTCTTTAATGAAGGACATTGTTGAGAATTGACAAGAACTTAATAAAGAAATTTTAAGTTTTGGTAACACAAGGAACTTAAAAAATCAAATAGGAGGTAATGCAGTTCATAAGCAGGGGCCCTTTTCACAAAAAAATCTTACAATAAAAAATGATAGTACCGGTAAGTTAAACTGAAATGTTCAAGACTTATGAGTATTTTTTCTCAAGATTTTTTGTGAAATGAGTGTCTGACTCTTATCCCTTCTTTTTCTATTGATAGATGCACTGTCTTTGTCAATTTACTGAAGAAGCAATTGAATTGTCTCTGTTCACTAGCTCACATATATGAGGTACTCCATTATATAATATAATTATTTATTAAACATATGTGATGCATCCATAATATTTCATATCAAACAGATTCACAATAATATAAAATTCCAGCAATAGATGTTTATATGACAAATACAATTCTCAAAAGTGACCTAAAACTGTCACTTAACTCTATAATTAAATTCACTGACCCTTAAGCCTATAACTTAATATTCTAATTTAATCTTATGCATCAAACCTCTGACCTGATTATGAAGACATCAGGTCCAAGTACACAGTTATCGTCCTTTGGTTTTCGTTGTCTCTGAATATAGTCTCTAGTGTGAAAAGTGTATAACTTGAATTTTTTTTTAAACACTTTCCCAATTTATTTCTGAATATTTTATGCATGAAATATTAAGTAAGGGGATGAAATTACATGTTAAATAAAATGCTCCGCTGGGGCGCAGCTTGATACGACCCTGAACAGTTGGGGCAAGTATGGACACAACATTCAAGCTTGATACAGCACTGAATTTGGATTGTAATTAAATATTTGTCACAGCATAGGTTTCTGACACAGAATGAATGTGGTCTAAGAACTTAAAATTTTTTAAGTTACCTATTCAAACCATATCATTATTATTAGCTTTTATATATAAATCAGAAATAACCAATTTAAAATGGAAAATTTTAAAGAAAAAAAAGGAAAAAAAAATCCCCCCCAAATTTTTTGAACCCCCTTATGATTCATCACCCCCAAGCTCAATCCCAGCCTACCCTTTGTGGTATGGTACCTTGCAGTACAATTTCAGAGAGATCCATACACTTGAACACAAGTTATTGTCTGAAAACTAGAAAAATGCTTGTTTTTTTGCCCCTTTTTGGTCCCCAAATTCCTAAATGTTTAGGGCAATTACCCCCAAACTCAAAACCAGCTTTCCCTTTGTGATATGGAGCCTTGCAGTACAATTTCATAAAGATCCATACACTTACAAGTTATTGTCCTGAAACTAGAAAAATGCTTGTTTTTTTGCCCCTTTATGGCCCCTAATTCCTAAAATTTTGAGGGAATTTCCCCCAAAATCAATCCCAGCCTTCCCTTTGTGGTATGGTACCTTGCAGTACAATTTCAGAGAGATCCATACACTTGAACACAAGTTATTGTCTGGAAACTAGAAAAATGCTTATTTTTGCCCCTTATTCCTAAACGTTTTGGGCAATTACCCCCAAACTCAATTCCAGCTTTCACTTTGTGATATGGAACCTTGTAGTACAATTTCATAAAGATCCATACACTCACACACAAGTTATTGTCATGAAACTAGAAAAATGCTTGTTTTTTGCCCCTAATTCCTAAAATTTTGAGGCAATTACCCCCAAAAATCAATCCCAGCATTCCCTTTGTGATATGGAACCTTGTGGTACAATGTCAGAGAGATCCATACACTTACACACAAGTTATTGTCATGAAACTAGAAAAATGCTTGTTTTTTGCCCCTTTTTGGCCCATAATTCCTAAAATTTGGAGACAATTACCCACCAAAATCAATCCCAGCATTCCCTTTGTGATATGGAACCTTGTGGTACAATGTCAGAGAGATCCATACACTAACACACAAGTTATGTCTGGAAGTTACAAGAATGCTTATTTTTTGCCCCTTTTTGGCCCCTAATTCCTTAACTGTTGGAACCATAACCCCCAAAATCAATCCCCACCTTCCTTTTGTGGTACTGAACCTTATTGTAAAATTTCATAGAGATCCATTAACTTAAACTAAAGATAGAGTGTGAAAACCAATGTGTCTTCGGACGACGACAACAACGTCATACCAATATACGACCGCAAAATTTTTTTCCTGTTGTATAAAAAATTTGGGTGCTGAATCTTTATGTTAAGTAGTGATTTGGTCCAGTTAAAAAAGGTCAAAAATTAGAATGTCTGAAGCTGTCAAACTGAATTTTAGCCCCCCTTAAAACAGAATTGTCAATATTTTGAGTTAGAGCTGGTAGAAGTTTCTATAATTTTGATATTATTTGTATCAATAGTAGTACACTACACTGTAAAAATCTTTTTGAGATAGAGCAGATGCGATTTTTTTAATTTGAATTTATTGTCTAAAAGAAATGCACTACGAAATAACTGTGTTCTCGGGCCATCAAAGGACACTCAAGAGTGCAACCAAAAATTATCTTTGGGTACCAATGCACCCGGGATATTAACATTAGATTTACGATAAAAGTATTCAAACTATAAAATGTAAAATGAAAACGACATGATTTTTTTTGGCAGTGAACTTCAACTAAAGTTATTTTTTGTTTTTCTGTTACTTAGTAATCAATGCTGAAATCTTTAAAACATTTGAGCTGTCAATGATCACACATATAGTTTCCTTGCAACGAAACACTTAACACTTAACAAAACCGTGTCTATCCTGTTATTTTTAATTTTCCTGAGGTCAGTGAAAAAGTATCTTATTTATTCAAAGGATTTTAACTTTTAAAAAACCTAAACTGCAGTTAAAGAAACCATCAACCAGAGTAATTAAATAAATTTAAAATGTGTTTAAACCACTGAGACAGTATAATTGTTGACATTACAGATCATGCAGAAAAGATAATTTAACTCTTGTTTTGGATTAGTTTCTAAGACGCTAAGCTAAACGTTTAAAAAATTGTCTGCAATTGTATCACTGAAATAATACCTTCCATTTCTCCAATCTCTTTAAATATAACTATAGAAAATTACACAAACTTGTATTTATTTGAATAAATGAATCTCAAGTTTTTAGAATTTTTAAAGGAATATTCCGAGTTATGCAATAAGTATTTGTCACTTTTATTTTTTGGCTACATATTTCATATCAAACTACATTTCCAAAAATTATTGTGAGGTCATTTCTGGTTGGATTTTAATGAATTTGGTACCAATAGAAGCAAAAATTGTCTTACGTATATTCAGTAACATTTTTTTGTATTTGCATATATTTTTGTTGTGAAACATTCTTGTTTTTCTGATGATATAAACACAATTATTATTTTTCTGACAGAAATTTGCAATATCTCAACCAAATTAAATTGTAAAAAAGTATTATACAATTTTTCACATCAGGAGAAAACAAAAGCAACTGATGACAAAATTAGGAACAAATAAACAAATATCTTTCAGAAGATGTACTAACAAAATCTTGCTTTTTCAGAAACATAACTTCTATGAAAAAAAACATCATTACATTTTTTTTTATGTGTGATGACCATGTAACCAAGTGTTATTACATGTACTGAAAGATTAATATTAGGAAAAATATGATGGAAAATTTGAAAGATCCTCTGAACCAAATATAGCTGTCAATTTTTTTACATAACAGTGACCAAAATGTGACTTTCCTTGGCTGACTGAAAAAATATCACTTTGGACCATTTAGTACATTTTGTAAATGTGCTGAGGGTCTGGACCCTATTAGAAGTATATGACAAACAAAATTAGTTTTTCACTATCATGAAAAAAATCTCTCACTTGTTTATATCAAATCATGTCATCTTCCTCTTCAGATGATAAAATGGTTGGTGCCTAACATCAAACAGAGTACCATTTATTCTTATCGTTTTCATTGAGCGTAAAAGACCTTTCTCATTGTTTTAATAAGAAAGGTCTTTTATGCTTTTGATAAATAAGCTGGAACATGGAACAAAGATGTTAAAACACAAACCAGATAAGCTCAGGTCAAACAAAAATCTATACATGTAAGATTTAGGGAGGACAATGGTAATTATAGGTTTCATAATGAGTGAGAATAGGATACCCTTTATATCAACTTGAGTTATTTAATTTCAATATAATAATAAATTTTGTGAGTTTATTATTACTATTTGAATTTAATAATGAGAGTTCATATCAAGAGATATCCAATTTTCACGAGATGTCAACACTCTCATTGTTTAAATAAAAAATTCTGTGGATCGTTGATCTAGTCTTTTGCACATACCAGTATGACGTCCAGCATCAAACTTTAACATCAGACATTTTAAAACTTTTTGTACGCTTCAAAATGTAATAAAATTTGACAAAAAGAAGATTTTCAGGGGAAAAGTGTGAAAGTTTTGTATATTATCAAAGAAATCACATATGTCCGTTGCCATTGACAAAATGTACATTGTCTTAACCTTTGAAAGTCATCAATTACAAATGACAATGCTGTAATATCGTTTCATGATTCTGGATAAGCCAATCAAATTAACGCTTTTGCAGTATCATAGAGTGTGATACGAGACATATCTCTTCATGCAAGAAATAGATAACAGTTACCATAAGAGAACAACATATATAAATTTCTAATTATAATTTTTTGGTTACTTGGTGCAAGGAATAGAAAGGAAAAAACCAAAACACAAATATTTTTTTATTATGGCCTAGGTGATCATGCAACACATGATAATGTTTTAATTATTCATACAAGTAATTTTTTCACATTTGACGCAGTATACATATTTACAAATATGTATCTACAAAATGAATCTTTTATGCAAAATTAGTTCACTTATCAATGCTGTAAGATGTTGCCTGGGATACATGATGTGGTAGTAAAGAAATTTACATCTTCTGTTCACTATTGTATAATTATATAAGCATTTTACATTTTTGTAGTAGAATTTAAGTTTGAAGGGGGAAACACTGGAGCAAGAAAAATACGATATTTCATATGTTTATGCTAACTTAATGATTTAGTATTGAATAGCTTAGATGTCCAAATCAATAGAGAACTCAAAAGTCCATTCACTTTTAAATTCAGGATCCACGACTTGTACATATATACAAAGTAAAACATATGATGTACATTTTTTACATGTAGATGCACATATAACCCAAATAATTCAGTCATCATATTCTGCTGCTCTACAATGGCCAGGGGTCACCACACCAGGCGAAGTGAGCAACTATGTCGCCCTAGGACTCCCCACTTCGCTCTAGAGAAGTTCCAGGGAGAAGTTTATGTCGCCCTTGATTTTCAGTAAAATTTCCCAATGTCGCCTCATGATTTTTGAAAAAATCTTGATCCGACCTGATAGTCCACGAAATACAAAACATGTTATTTGGTGCCTCACAATTAGGAGAGATCATTTACAGGGAGGGACTGAATTATTTGGGTTAATGATATGCACATAACACATTAATCTATACAATTGAAGGTGCACAATGTACAACATGAAAGGAAGCGATGATAAATTAATATACTTATCTCTATGATGTACATAATTAAGGGGTTCATCAAAATATGAAAGAAATTGGAAATAAACTTTAAAAGTACAGACAAAAAAAAAAGTTATATAAAACACCATTCTGTGATCATAACTTGGCCTTGGCATATTGTAGGAAAAACATAAAAATTGGACATGAACTGATAGTGGACAATGGTGGAACCAGTGATGATTTGCAAAATTACCTCATTTTCAAAATATCTTTACGTAGATATTTTGTACATATTTACACTTCTCTAAACTGATCTGTTAAAAATAAAGTTTACTTTTTAAACAAGTCAATTCATAACTTTCATGATTGCTTTTATCATTGATTGAACCAAACACGATTCCATTAACAATTTCAAACTATGCATATCCTTCTGTCTCCAATATATCAATACCAGACATTTAAAACATCAAATTTCAGTTCAGTTTTGCTTATCCTGGCCTTAGCAGTAATAACAGAGAAAAAAAATCCTATATCTAACCATTGATTAAGCTCAAAATATGAATTTCCAAATAATACATTATAATACCTACAACCTAGGTCTGATAATTAAGATATTTTATTTGAAAAAGGTATACATAATAAATGGTTTAAATGTATGAAATGTATACATTTCTGCTTAAAGACTATTGATTTGCAAATTAAATTGTAATTCTGGGTTTCTTAGCACATAACCACCAGTAATTTAATTTTTTTCAAACTATTTAAACTTTGGGGATTTAATCGTTTACTTTATGGACTGTCAGTAAAATAAAACCCAATTTAACACAGTTCAACGAGAACAATTCCATTCAAAATAGCTAAGTAAGACATCAATAGAATACCAATCAACAGTTAATACCTCACAATTTTTATCAGCAAATATGTCAATCCTCTACAACAATAAATTTAATAACATTAATCCTCTTTTTGAAAATAAGACCTGCTATTCTTACAGTTGAAATACAATTTACATGTTATTTATTTTGATTGAATATTCAAGTCAACAAAATATAAAATATGAATCATAGTTTATGTAATAACAAGTAAAAGTCAAATTTTGATTTATAAAAGTAATAACATAAAACAGCCTAGTAAAAATTATTTAAATCCAAATTTATTGTAATTTAATTGACAAACCGAGTACTGATCCTTAGAAACATACCCTTGAGCATAATCATTCAATTTAAAATACATTTGTATATCTAATGGGTCAACTTAACTTTGACAAAAAGAAGTGAATTCTATAATGCCTAACAAGTAACAGGTTTTAGAAAAGTTGCTACATGGCATGTTTAATGAAGGTACACAAATGTACCTATTTTGTGGCTCCATCATTCAATCTTATACAAGTCACTATAAATTTGCATTTCATCCTGTTTCTAATGTATGCTTTCCCCTACTTTTTACTGGACACTTCTGGACTTTAGAAGATAAAATCTTAGGTTTTCCAGTTATTTAATATTTCTTCCAGTGAGTAATGACTGTATACATGTACACATGTACATGTGTATAACATATTCACTGTATAAAATGTATACTAACAATCTGAGCCATTGATCATGTTGATAATTTTCTAGATGTACCAAACACTTAACAGAATATTTTTTTACCCGTTACCACATATTAATTGAATTGATCTAGCATACATGTAATTAGAAGGTAACATAATCATGGCTGTCACTAGCTAGCGAAGCAGAAAACTGTGTTCCCTTTCACAAGAGCATGTTTTTAAAATGGTTACATGTAGCGTGGTTTTTATTGACCAATCATTTTTTATGCAGCTTTTTGTTGATTGTTGTTTGCTGTCTTATTCTGGTCATTGTTATGTCAATGAACATCAGATTAAAGATTTTTCACTATCCCTTCTGATAACTTCTATTTTTTTCAGGTTTAGAATTTTCTATCTGTCTTTTTAACATGAGTGTGTACGACTTTACTTGAGATAAATGCTTGTTAGATTAATATTTACTCCATTGTATCATGTTTAGCATAATAATACAAGTACATGTATGTATAGATATAAATAAGACTAATGATAGCTAGTGTTTGTTGCGAAGAAAATAATAATTTATTCGAAAAAATACCTATATGGTCTAAATACTCATATGGTCCGGACCTTTAATAACCAAACGAGTATAATACTCATATGGTCATGACCATGCGTGTATAGTCCAAATACTCATATGGTCCGGAACATAAACATGCTTTTCTCTAACAATTTGAAAAAAAAGCATATATGTACAAGATAGAATTATTTAAATTTGTTTCCAAAAACCTTTTGCATTTGTTTCTATAAATTTTCTCACCTCCATCGGAGAAATCTTTGACAACGTTTTTCTTTGGCCGTGAGAGTGGTATTCTATCTATCCAATGGTATAAATTCTCAACTTCAACATCGTCAAAGTACTCTTCCATGTCTACTCTGGTCAGTCCATTTAACTGTTTACGAAAGGTGATTGTGTCCATGTCCATTGTTTAAATATCATTTAGGCAAAATAGCCAAACAGAAATAAAAGATTTACAAGTCAATACCAGTGTCAATACACAGTATATTTTATTTCCGTACCTATTTCCTTTTAACCCATTGAATACCCTGAATGCACATGGTTATTTAATCACCTGTGAAAAATAGCCAGGTACGCAGTTTGTTGTCGTTTAGTTACGAAGTTGTACTTGACAGAAGTAATCATTTCCGGTTCCAAGAAGTAACATTCGAATAAATTGCCAAAGGTTGAAGGGGGATTCTTATAGTTTTGCCCCTCACGTTTGTGTGTAATGCGGGTATGGTCCCCTTTCCATACGCCCGTGAATTTATATATACCCCTCCACACCAAGAAAAAAGCATAAATACAAACAAAGCCAAACAAAGAAATATGTTTTCCTCCTCCTTCCTTCATTTTGGGGGTCATTTTGCCCTTTTCCCGGCGCATACCCCCTCGACAAAAATAAAAAGGAAACAAAATGAACAACGAAAATATGAATAGTAGATTGAAGACATATGAAAATTCAACTACGTATGCAAATGATTTTGTCTCGTTTAAAATTTTTTATCCATTTATTTTTGAAATCAATTTGTTTTTATTTATGTGATATTCGAGTAGACCCAAGCATTGATCACGTGACACAATATTGTTTTCATTCTCCATCCTGTATCAAAAAGGGGTTTATTGACGTTGAGACTGATTTTGTGCTATCACAATTCGACTTAAGCAAATTCCTTGAACATGTACAGGGAAAATTTTCCATACAGTTCGATTTAGACGATTTAATAGATTTCAGCTTAACTGCTAAGCAAACCCACGAGAGGTTTGTACATAGAAATATTTTATGGTTGCAGCTACTCTGGCAGTTAGTAACTTCGTAGACACTTTATTTAATTTCAGCATTTTGGGACATAGTTAGCTTTTTTTATAAGGTAGCAATAAACAGTTAGGAAAAAATATTAAAATTTTCCCTCATAAATTTTACCATCCCTTTTCATTGCCTTCTTGCAATATTAAGCTTACTGTTTGTGTCATATATGTGCATATGTATGTAATCAGAATCTTCCATAGATTTCATATCCAGTATATGAAATGGTAAAATATAATTTCTCCTTGGTGTATCCATGGCAACAATCTGCATTTTTTTGTTATAAAATATAGCAAAAAGGGGGGAAAAGATGTCACATATTTCCCCAAAATTTGACCAAAAGTAGAATTTCAATCACTTCAAGTAATACCTTTTCTGAAACTGTTTACATATATCTTTCAATAAATCCAATGAAAATCATATGTCTTTCGTCTCATTTTTTTTGTAAAACTGCGTCAAAAACTTCGTGTAGAAAAAAAATGTTTGTAAACATTACATTAATTTCTGGACCGATGACCGGTCTAGCTATGAAAATACGGAGAGTCAAACAGAAAATAGCCCATAAAACATGTAAAAAATAACCTTGATGTTCTTATAAACCACCTTTGAAGGCTAAATTAGTACTCAGCTGTCTAAAAATGAATTTTATTACACAATAACTTTCATATTTGAAAAATCCACCGGGGCCAAAATGCGAAACCAAACTCCTAACTGTGTATTGCTACCTCAATAGTAAATATTTTTTTCAAATTCTGCTAGCTAAAACGAGTAAAATGGCCTTTTATTTTTGAAAATTGGTTGAGTAATGAATATTTTATGAAGGTTAGCAGTTGACACTGAAACGCGACAAAAACTGATTTAAAGAAAGGTGCCAAGTCAAAGTGTAAAATCTTGTTTCTACCTCAATTTTTGGCAAAATCTTAAAAACTTTACCTCTTTTGTCAGTTTTTTAATGTTGAAAATCTTTATAAAACCTCTGATGATGCAAAATTGTACAAAATTTAACAATTTCAAGCATGAAAATGTGAATCTTTATGTTTAATGTATACCAAAGACTTGATTAAAACACTTGGTAATGGGGAATCAATTTCTTACAGCTGAATCAACTATACATTTAATATATGTCAAAATGTAACATGAAATCTTGATAAAAATAATAATTTGATATATTCGCAAGAAAAAATACAAAACATTCAATACTTAGGCTACTACATACTGCGCAATCCTTCAGAAGCAAGGGTTAAGCAAATAGAGTACAATTATAAGCCTTGTGTCAAAATGTCTAATTTTGGTTGCTAAGGACTGTAAACAATAAAATTGACATGTATTGTCATTCTTAAACACTTAATCCCATCAGAAGTTGATTTAGAATCTAAATATCAATAGATTTGTGGTATGAAAAGTCTTAAATTGTACAATTCTGAGCTTGGTAAGTATGCCATAAGGTAGCAATAAACAGTTAGGAAAAAATATTAAAATTTTCCCTCATAAATTTTACCATCCCCTTTTCATTGCCTTCTTGCAATATTAAGCTTACTGTTTGTGCCATATATGTGCATATGTATGTAATCAGAATCTTCCATAGATTTCATATCCAGTATATGAAATGGTAAAATATAATTTCTCCTTGGTGTATCCATGGCAACAATCTGCATTTTTTTGTTATAAAATATAGCAAAAAGGGGGGAAAAGATGTCACATATTTCCCCAAAATTTGACCAAAAGAAGAATTTCAATCACTTCAAGTAATACCTTTTCTGAAACTGTTTACATATATCTTTCAATAAATCCAATGAAAATCATATGTCGAGTGCACCTGCCACTTGTGGGATTCGAACTCACAACCTCAGTGTTGACTGGCTAATGATACAGTAGTTTGACTACTCAAACCAATCGGCCACCGAGGCCCCCAACCTATCCTGAAAAAAGGATGCTAAAGGACAGTGTTTTAACTAGTTTTTGATAAATATATATGTACATTTTATTAGATTTATCTACTGGTTTTGTTCCCTTCACAGTACATTTAATTTGACTTATTCGAAAATATATAATGTTTTACAGGTTACAGTACTATGTACAGAATAATGCAAGTCTGTCCAGCATCAGTACAGAAATCCATGGAAGGTTTAGACTATTTTGTGGTAGAGGGCGGTTGAGCGTTTGAGGACCTACTTTGGGTTGTAAATCAGCTTCATCTATTTAAAGAAGAAATGGACCAAATGATAAAAGATCTTTCTGAATGCAAGCAGTACTTAAAGCATGATTTTAAGGTAAACACATAATTCACCTCTTGTCTCTTTTGATATTCATAACAATAAAACATCATCATTAACCCACTATCTAGACATTTTTTATGCACCCTAGGCAACAAGGACATTCAGTTTTACTCCTGTCCATCTGTACGTTCCTAAATTGGTTTCCATTCCCTAACTTTAGTTTGCCTCAACCAAATGCTATGGAACTTATACATAATGCTTATTATCACCAAACACAGATCAAGTTTGAATTTGAGTGGCACATTTTTCACCGTTTTTCAGTTTATGTCCCTTTAGAAATGGAAAAATTGCTGAATTTGCCATTTCAGGACTATATATAACTTTAGTTTGCCTCAACCAAATGTTATGAAACTAACACACAGTGCTTTTTATCACAAACACAGATCAAGTTTAAATATTAGTGATTTCACTTTCATTGTTCTTGAGTTATGTCCCTTTATAAATGAAAAATTTGCTGAATTTGCCATTTATTAACAAGCAGGGGCATCTGTATCTCATGTACACATTCTCCTTTTATTGAAAGTATGCCTTGAAGAATTGTTAAGGATAATTGCAGTTTACAATTAAGACTTTTGGTTCAGGATGGTTATCTTCTGGAATTATCTTAAACAATGAATTAAAAAAGTTTACCCATCAGCCCCTCATTTTTTATTATTATTTGAAATGATATATATCTTCAATGCACAAGTGAAAAAAAAGTCCTGAATTCACATTCCCTGTATAAAAAGGTATAAACAAAACAGCTATCAATATCATAGTTTGAAAAAAGACAGATAACACAGTATGTATTGCAATATGAAAAAGATGAACAGACAACAGTTCATAGAACACTATAAATTTAGCACTATGAACCCCACAAAAAAACTCTAAAACAAAACAGTTTGAAAAGGCTGTTAAAATGTAATCATCTGACATGAAGGAAATTTTATAAAGAAGTCAGAGACCCCCTACAATATGAAAGTATACTTTTCTCATCAGATTATATGAAAACACTATTTTTTGCAGTCACTCTTTTTCTAAAATTAAGGATTCAAAACAGCAGATTTAAAATTGCCAAATGTTTTATTTTCTTTAGATACACATTGAAGAGAAGACTGATATCAAAGACCATTGCATGATGTACCTTCTCCCTGAATGACAAAGATCTTCATTTTAAAAATGAATGCTGTGATCATCAACATTGTTAAAAGTGGTTGTCCTTAGTGTTTGCAGCTGTCAGATTTGCTGGAGGAAATTATGAAAAGGGTTCAATTACTGGAATCTGAAAATATTGAAGATCTGTATGATGAAATATTGTTTAAACTTCTAATGCTATTGATAATATTGTGGAATGGAAAAAACACCTTGTCTGATCAAAAAGTCAACTACATGCAAAACAATCATATAATTTCTTCGCTTAATGGATCCAAAGCATCTCATATGAAGGCTGAAATTAAAAGATATGTAAATGAGGGACTCAATGTGTTGGATGCAAATGACATGAAAAAGGTAAATGTAATTTGCTTTATGAGTTATGTATTAAAAGAAGATTGTACAATAGGGTAATATACCAATAAGACAGCAACTCAACAACATAAAAACTAAAATTTAGAGGTACTATATTAATGCCTAGTTTGAAACTGCATCACATAAACATTAGTCTTCTGGGACAATATGTAAACTCAATCCTTAAATGCTCATTATGTACACATAGTGTACAGTTAAACCTGCTATAAAGGTCACCTCACTTAAACAAAAACCTGTCTGTCAGGACACCTGATTCTCTACCTGCTGTAGTAATACCTGTCTGTCATGACACCTGATTCTCTACCTGCTGTAGTAATACCTGTCTGTCAGGACACCTGATTCTCTGTCTGCTGTAGTAATACCTGTGTGTCAGGACACCTGATTCTCTGCCTGCTGTAGTAATACCTGTGTGTCAGGACATCTGATTCTCTGTCTGCTGTAGTAATACCTGTGTGTCAGAACACCTGATTCTCTGCCTGCTGTAGTAATACCTGTGTGTCAAGACACCTGATTTTCTGCCTGCTGTAGTAATAGCTGTGTGCCAGGACACCTGATTCTCTGCCTGCTGTAGTAATATCTGTCTGTCAGGACACCTGATTCTCTGCCTGCTGTAGAAATACCTGTCTGCAGGACACCAGATTCTCTGCCTGCTGTAGTAATACCTGTCTGTCAGGACACCTGATTCTCTGCCTGCTGTAGTAATACCTGTCTGTCAGGACAACTGATTCTCTGCCTGCTGTAGTAATACCTGTGCATTTTGGACCTCATTTCAAAGGTCACCTCTGTTATAAGGTCATTTATTCTTTTTCCAGAGAGTTACATTTAATTATAGGTTTGATTCAATGACTATCAGAAATCACCTATAGATCTATAGACATTACTTTGTGCGAGTCTTGTAGTGCTTTATATCCACTTTTGATTAAAAAACAAATGTTTCAATTAATCGAAACATTTGAAGATTAATTATAATTTTATTAAACTGGTGATATAGATTTCACATGAGAGGACAGCCAGGTGGCGCTGTCCAAGGTCATACTTCAGAGCTTGAGGATCTAGTTGTATTTTAGGGTGGGTACAATTTCACAAGAAATTCCCAAGTGGTGGGCATGTGAAATCTATATCACCAGTTTAATAAAATTATAATTAATCTTCAAATGTTTCGATTAATTGAAACATTTTATTAAACTGGTGATATAGACGATTTCCCATGAGATTTTAGAGCACAACTAGATCATCAATCCACGTTGAATTGTTGAAAAACCTTCTTTAGGCCATGTTATTACCAAATATTTCAAGTAATTATATCTTTTAATAAACATATATACATTTGTACATTAATGTCCATCATCATGATCATAACATATATCATAAAAACAAAACATTTTACATTTAGCTACTTGATGGTAAAATCTTTTGAGCTAAATTACTTTCATTGTCAGTAATAATTGTTTTATTATAAAATTTTTGAAAAGTTTTTGCTGATTTCCACCCTGCACTTTTCATAATAGTGTCTAATTTAAGTCCTTGACCTAATGCAGCTGAGGTTGATGCTGAACGACAGCTATGTGGACCAAAACATTCAATGTTTATTCCAGAACTTTTCATCACAATTTTTACCCATCTAGCAATAGTACTTTTGGTGACAGGTTTGTAAGGTTTAACAGTAGAAATAAACACTTTTTGTTCTTTGTTCCGAAGAGTTTCTGTTTTTCTTACATACTCCTCATAAGTTCTCAAAATACACAATTTTTCATTGATAATATATCTATCAAATACTAAAGGTTTCATATGTACTCCAGGTTTAGTTTGTTTTAACAATTCACTAACATAAGCAACCATTGAGTTTCCTTCAATTTGAACATTATCTAATTCTAATTTATATACAGTTTGACATCTTTGTCCACTCAATAACATAAACAACATAGCTAGTTTTTGTGATAACTCTTATAAAGACAACTGTTCATTGTCCGGTATTTTATCAAAATATGTTAATACTTTGTTAACATCCCAAATTTTACTATATTTTGGTAAACTAGGTTTTTTAGTGAAAACACCTTTCATAAACCTTTTAACTAAAGTTTCTTTACCAATATTTCTATCACTAACTAAACTACACAATGCTGAAATAGCTGATTTAGCAGTGTTTATACCACTATAACCTACATTCTGTTCAAATAAAGAATTTAAGAACTCAAGTAATACTTCGGTAGGGGGATCAAACAAATTGATTTCCCTTTCACTTGAAAATAATTTCCATTTCTTGAGATATGATTTATATTGTTGTGATGTACTAGATCTCCATGATTGTAGAATGATGTCGGCAACATTGCTTGAAACTCCTTTACTTTTGAGATGTTCCCTGACACACAAAAAATCCCAAGTTGAAGATTTTTCACTGGATGTAGTTTTTGTAGATTTCCTGGAAGTACTAAACTTTTTTGTGGTAGTAAGTATGGTTGTTGACAAGTCTGTTGTAGAAGAATTGGAAACCATACTTGAGTTGTCCAAATTGGTGCTACAATCAATGCTTTGTTGACTTTGTCTGTAATTAACTTCTGCAGCACTTTTCCCAGAAGACTGAAAGGAGGAAAAATATAAAAAACATCAGAACTCGTCCATGAAAAAGTAAAAGCATCAATAGCCATTGCATTCAAATCTGGCAAAAAAGACACATACCGTTGTTTTTGTTTATTAATGCCAGATGCAAACAAGTCAACTGTTATTTTGCCAAACACTTGTTCAACTATCTCAAAAACCTCTGGTTTTAACATCCATTCCATATCCTCATTAAGTTTTCTAGACAATTTGTCAGCTGTAACATTGTCTTTCCCTGGAATATGTGCAACGCTTAGCCAAATATTCCTATCAACACACCAGTGCCAAATCTCTTTAGTAAGTTTATGTAAAGAAGGTATACGTCCCCCAAAATTGTGTATATAAGATACTGCCACTGTGTTATCAACATACAAACGTATATGTGTATCATGAAACATATGTCCTAATGATTGCAATGTTAATAAAGCTGCTTTCAATTCTAAAAAATTGATATGTTCCAATATTTCATCACGAGTCCAAAACCCATTATCAGTCAATTGGTAGGTTTTATTAAAACCACCCCATCCAGTCTTACTAGCATCACTATAAAAAATTACTGAAGGTTGTGAAATAGTCATTGACTTGTAACTGAACATAATATTATCAATCCACCAATGAAGTAATTCCTTACTTCTAATATCCAAATCAATAATTGCATCAAAATTGCCTTGATTACCTTTCAAGGACTTATCTTTAAAATGTTCTAAATCCTTGAAATACAATGGAGCATATTTCACTCCTGGTTCACTAGCTACCATTTTTCCTATTACTCGTGCTAAATCTCTGATTGTTACTTTCTTTTGATGGAGAAGCAGTTTAGATTGTTCTATTAAACTCTTTTTCCTTTCAGAAGTTAACTGTAAAGTCATATTTAATGTGTTTATAATGAACCCCAGAAAAACAATTTCTTGAGTAGGTAAAAATACTGATTTTTCAGGATGAATTGTGAATCCTAATCCATCTAGTAAAGTAACAGTATCTTCAATATTTTTCAAACACTCATGATATGTATCACCCAATAACAAACTGTCATCAATATAAGGCACATTGACGTGTCCCATTTCACGTAATTTTCTATAAACAGGTTTTAACAATTTGGTAAAAACCCTTGGGCTGCTCGATAACCCTTGTGGAAGTACTTTGAATTGGTAGTGATCATTTTTCCATCTAAATCTTAAATATTTTTTATCACTTTCTTGTATCGGCACACTATAATACGCATCTTTCAAGTCAACTGAAGCCATATATTGGTTTAGTTTAATGTTGTTAATAGCAGTGTGCAAAGTTTCCATTTTGAAATGTTTTTTGACAACATTATCATTGAATGATTTGAGATTTAAAATTACTCTAACACTACCGTCCTTTTTTGGTCTAATGAAAATGTTAGAATAATATCCATGAGTATCATTACATGTATTTGACACTTTTTCAATAATTTCTTTCCTTAAAAACTTTTCAATTTCTTTCTGAATTAAATTACTTTCGTGTTCGTTAAATTCAATTGTTTTAGGAATAGTTATTTGAAATGGTATATTGTCTAATTCAATAGTATAACCAGTTAAAACATTTCTTATCCATTTATCCAAAGTTAGTAAATCCCAGTTGTGAATAAATACTGAAATCTGTCCTCCAATAAAATTATCTGGAGTATTGTATAACTTGAACATACAAGTACTTACAGATGCATTTAATGCATTGTCTTTGGTTTCTTTAGTTTCTTTTTGTTTTTTGCCCAGAATTTGTCCTTTGGCCAGAATTTGTCTTTTGGCCAGTTTTTGTCTTTTGCCGGACCCCAATGACTGTCCTTTGACCAATTGTGCTTTCTTTTCCCTAAAAAAACACCTCCTGATTCCATAGATAACTTGTCTGACCTTTTGTCATCTTTGTCCAGTTTGTCTACTTTTTCATCCAGGTTGTCACCGAATAAAAATTCTGTAACAGGTGTGTCTACTTCACACAATTTCCTGTATTTTCCTGGGACTATAGGCCTTATCATCTGCTTTCTTTTCCTGTTTGCCGTACAGATCCCATGAGTTAGAACTTTAAACAAATCTTTGAATATGGGTTTCGTTTCACTCATGTCCCCTTTGGTCTTAATAATGTTCAAAGCTTTGAGTACCATGACTAATGCTGAACTACATGTCTGAGTCACCTTTTGCATTGCCACATCTCCTTCTCGCTTGGTTTTTAGCACCTTCCATAGTTCTCTGTTTACCAGAGGTACCTTTATCTTTTTACAATTTTCTGGCACCAAATATTTGTCTGTTAACTTTTGATACTCCTCGTCTTTTAACGGTTTCTCAATAGCTGTTTCAGCAAGTTTTGCCATAGCACTGTCTATCTCAGGACCAAACTTTTTGTCCTCTTCATATTCTTTCTCTAACTCTAGAAAGAAGTCTTCGTCTACCTCATCTAGCATTTGGTCTAAAGAACAACCAACATCTTGGTCATCTTGTTCCTCCTCAGACTCCATATCGTCATCTGATATGTCTGATAATTCAGGAATGTCACTAGCACTGACAGTTACTGTCCTATCGGACTCTTTTTGTGGATGAGTTTTAACTTTATTCAACTCTTTGCCACTGACTTTGTCTTGCAATTGCAGAATGTTCACGGCTAAATTAGCCATAATCTCTGTTTGAGATTTTTCCATGCTAGAAAACTTGTCCATCATGTCTTTCATTGTTGGACTGTTATTATTTTCACTCCCGTTAGTTTCACTTTCACTTTCCGGGTTCCCGGACATGCGCAGTATACCACTTCCCGCGGACATGCGCATTGCATCTGAACTTCTATTCATTACACTTCTAGTGTTAATATCAGTATCGTGGTTTCCCGTCGTTTCAGAAACCTTTCCTGATTTAATTTTATAAATTTCTTTTGTACGACGTTTCACCATTTCGGCAAAATTGTTCCTTTCGGACGTCGATTGATCAATATTATTTTCCGCCATTTTGTTGACCACTTTGGTCAATAGCAGTGTTAATCCAATAAATCCACACGATTTTTAAGCCATCACACAAAAAGTGCAATGATCTATCTCCCTATACTTCTAAGTTCTATGATTCAATATTTCTACATTCTGCAAATTTTTATACCCCCGTTTATGGGACGTATTATGGTATACCGTTGTCTGTCCGTCGTCAACATGTCGGACAATAACTCAAAAACACTTTAACAAATTTGCATGAAACTTTGGTGAATTGTTTTATATCTATTGATGTGAGCTCCCTTTCGATTTTTATCAATTTTAAACTCCTTCTGGTGAACCAACGCCTTTATGAATCCTTTTGGTAGAGTCCATGAAGTGGATACCTGGGTATGCCGGGTTGTCAAATAATGCAAATGAATGCAACACTTAAATAATACTCAAAATTGACAACAACACTTCAAATGGTCTGCATTTTTTTTTACTATGGTCTACATATATGTTTATGACCCAGAAATGTTTTACTGGAATGAAATGTAGGATTAATTACCTACAACTGTCAAATTCAAGGGAATATTTTTTTTCGACCTATTTTTGTATGCAACCGGATGTGACGTACTATGATTACACCTAAAGAAGACTTTTTTGTTAAATAAACTGAATGTGACTTTTTTCCTTTGTAATACTGGTTATTTCAAGCATTCCTGTCAAGTTTTGTCATAATCAGTTCAATAGTTTGAGAAAAATCTAGTATAATGTAAGACGACATCTACAGTGTTTCGAGCAAAATTTCTTCGAAAAATCCAAACCAAGCCGCATCATGATAGAATATAGTGTGGACCAATAAATGATCAAATATTTATCTCATCTGCCTACAAACAGTTGAATATGATACAAAAGATGACTTTAGGATGATAAATACTACTAATGGACCTCTTTGTCTTCCTTATAAGGTCTCATTTGGTCCATTTATACCTCTCATTTCCTCAAAATTTCTACTTTTTAGGCCAATAAATAAAATTTTGGGGGTAACTTTCACTCATTTATGATAGAAATGTTATAATAAATGATTAATTGAAGTATTCAAGCTGAATGAACTATCCGTATAAAAGTTTACTGTCTCCAAGGAGGTTTCAATAAGTCCTTACGTAAAACTTAAATTTACGCCGTGTTCCAGAGAGGGACATAAAAAGCTTCTCTTTTGGTGAATAATTTGTTGTTACTGCTTTAAAAATAATTTCATTTACTTAAAACTATAAAGTTTTTAAAGTATTTCTTAGGAAAAATTTTCTAGTATAGCAGAATATAAGAAATAAGGAGAAAAAGCTCCCCAAAACTCTAAGTATGGCTTGTTCTGTCAACTAATATTCAGGGTAAAGTCCTATTTCAAGGAAATTTTCTCATAAAATGTGTTTTGGAGACTCAATCCACTCAGAATATTTCATTATTTGTAATATTTCACTTAAATAGCAAGAAATTTTAACACATGAGAGTACTCAGAAGGTCAAAGGTGCATGTACAGCTTCCCATATTAGGTGTAATACCACCATTGATTTTCCCCTATTAGTCTTTGTTAAATTTGCACTTTTCAAAAAATGGTGCAGAATTTATCTTTGTTTCAAATAAAGAAATACTTGGCATGAGTAAAGTTTTATCCTGTCCAGTACTATAGAAAAAGTTTCACATAACATTTCATTGCATATAAGAAAATAACCATCACTGGAAGTTAACCAATCAAATTTTCCCCCTTTTTTAACCTGTGTACAAGCTTTAGTAACCATGTAACCTCAAGTTTCCAAAATATTCTATAGAAACCCCAAATAAAAAAAATAATGGTGCTTTGAAATACCCAAGATATATGTTTATGACCCAGAAATGTTTTACTGCAATGAAATGTAGGATCAATTACCTACAACTGTCAAATTCAGGGGAATATTTTTTTCGACCTATTTTCGTATGCAACCGGATGTGACGTACTATGATTTGGTGGTATTACACCTATATGGGCATATACGTAGATATCTTTTACTTTAGGCCAACTAAAATTAATTAGTAGATTTTCATCCAGATTTTTGAAAAAACAATGGGGTGGGTGGGAGGATTTAATTTTTTAATTTTTATTTCCTCCTAAACCCTTTTGTGACGTGTTGTTCATATACAAGGGTAATAAAAAGCTTATATCATGTATATATATATGGAATTCTACATTTTTTTTCAAATTCTTAAATCAAAATTAATTGCATGCCGTTTTAGAAACCTATTTTTAGTAAATAGCATACTGCGACTATTATACTGTATATATATAGTTAGTATAATAGTCCTAGACATATCACTCGAAGAAATACGAAAACCGAAATTTGAAACAGGAAGTTTGAATGAAACGAAATTATCGGCACTTACTGGTAATGCAAATGAACAAAATCCGGAAATTGTAAATTTTTTAAAATAAAAAAAAATAGGGGCGGAACGATTTCAGAGGGGCAGGCGGGGATGAAAATCTATCAATTAATTTTAATTGGCCTTATATATAAATACATGTTTGTAAATGAACAAGAATATTTCATTGTTTGTTTTTTTGCAGGAAAGTTGATAAAATGGAAACTGATCTATGACTGCACAAAGAAAATGTCACTGTGTCTGAAAAAAAAGCTACTGATTTCTCTTTATGATTCTTTTTTTAAATAAATTACATCAAATTTTGGAGGTATGCAACACAATTTCATATTGCAGTCCTAAGTATGAAATCATCCAAATTATAATTGCATATTGTTATTCTAAATTGTTTCCAAAAATTGATTGCCCTGAAGATCACAAAAAACATTTTATTAAAATTAAATATGTCAATAAAGGTTTTGATTTTGTAAATATTGCCGGTATTTTTAATGATCATTCTGTTAAAGAACAAATTCCTGGCTATTTTGATAATACTGAACAGCCGCTTATTTGTTATGTTTACAAAAAATCTACCGCTCATGTCTGTTTTGTTTAGGCCCTCTTCCAGGTTTTGATGCCTGTTGTTTCATTTTCAGTTTTTCAGTGACCTGTAGAATATTCTTCATATGATAATTAATGCTAGCCACAAATACGCTGACACCTTGGTTTGATAAGTGTAAACCATCTGGTCCATAAAACTTCTTAATTGGTACATTACTAATTGTAACATGATTACATGTTCAAGGAACTTATACTGTAATGATATATTACATTCTTCAATTTTATTATTTAAAGCTTTGTCTTGTATTGTATGAAAAGGTAAAGATAATATAATTTTTGCAAACTGACAATGCCTGAGTAGTGCACTTATTAAGTATTATGTTTTTTGCACGCATTCTTCATTTTCACGGTTCATTGCTCAGTGTTAAGTTTTTATGTTTTGGTCTGTTTTTCTTAAACTGATAAGCAATAGGTCAACTATATTTGTTGTATGGAAGGATTATTTAATTTGTAAGCTTTTCCAGAATTGCTGTCCAGAGTTGCTGCATCAGTTTCACTGTTTTTATCATCTGATAATTGTGTGAAGGGGTTGGAGGTTTCAAGTTCAAAGTGCTGATATTACTGATTAGTCAATTGTTGTGATTCTTTGGTATTGGATTTTTGAAGTTGTGAGGAAATCTGGCTTATGTTCTTCGTGATTTTAGAGTTTGCCTTGATGCTCTTTTCAATCGATTTGTAAGTCTATTCTAAATTTTTATTTATGTTTTTCAGTTCAGTGCTCATAGTTTCTAGTTTAGTTGCCAACATTTCAGACTGGGGCTTGAATGGTATTTTCAAGTGATGCAATTTTGTCCTGTAATGGTTTTAACTAGGTGGTTATAACTGTTACTTTGTCTTTTTTAATTTGTTCAGTAATCTTTGTAACTTCTTCAGATGTACTTCTTGTAGAGATCAAATCATTAATCTCGTGGATTTGTCAAATCCTCCAACTTCTTTTCAACATCTTCAAATTATTTAGAGTTTGATTTCAAGATTTGAAGTTCATGTTGCAAGTTGTTGAATTTCTCATCTTGATTTGTTTGATTGAGTGATGCCATTGCTTGCACTACGCTATTTTCTATTCGAGAAACAATTTCAAGGGTCTTGATACTCATGTTTGGGTTATCAGATGGTTCTACTGCTCCTTTGTTTGCCCATTTTTCATAGAAAGAAGTTGTTACATTAGAACATGTCTCACAAGTGTATCTTCGGGAGGTATGAACTAGCTAGCAAATAAAGTTGGTAGACAGGGAGCTTTGTACAGACATAGTGTGTCCATCCCTGGCACCTATTACACTGCATCATATGTTCACTAGTTTCATATTTGCAGGATTAAGTACACATAGTTTTTTTTATGTAATTTTTTGTTTGGATTCAACTTTAGGGTCATTATTGTTTGACTGCCGTTGCATCTCTTTAGTATTTGATTGGACTTGCACATCATTGGTACATGTATCAGTGTTTAAGTTTAATTGTGTAACTTGTTTTACTGCAGTTTCATTTTCGTCATTGATTATAAGTAGTTACACTACATACATCAGAGTCTTCTTCTAATGTTGATAGATCAAGATTTTCTGTAGAACATAATTTACTATCACAACTGTGGCCATAATCCTTAGTTGATTTGGTGGTAGTTGTTTCATCAAAAACTGGTATGGAATTGCATGATTTGTATGTTCCATCTGCCATTATAAAGACAATAGCCTGATCAATATTGTGAAAACCTTTAAAAACAGCGTGGTGAAATTTTTGAACGCTTGCCTCGCATTTGTTCCATTATAAAAGAAAGGGATTGACTATTTAACTTCAAGGGGGGGAGGGGGGGTATGTTTTTTTCCTAAAAAAATGTTCTGATCCTCAATTGGATGAAAAAAAAGTATTATGGTCAAGATGACAAAAATAAATATTCTGAATCCAGATTTTTCTCATACCTTATAGTGTTAAATTTTGAAAAAACTAATTTGATTGAAAGCGTTGAAAAATTTCTGACTCAGACAAAAAACCGTAACACTCCCTTGAAGTTAAATGGTTGCTCCTTAAATATGCCAGTATTTGTACCTTTGGCAACACTATAAAAGTTTTTTCGGGACATTTTGAGATGGTTATATT